ATTTGATACAATAAATTTTTGAAAATGTCATCCGCCATTTTGAATTTTCAAAAAAAAAATTATATTATAAATCTCCTTACAGAATAATTAGAAAATCGTAGTTTCATAATTGATTTAAAGAAATCTTTATTAGATCCAATTATTCCATTTATTTATCACTTTAGTAATTCGTATTTGGTACAAATAATTATTTATTTAATACTATAAATTAAAATATTTATGTCCAGTAAATGTTTACTTAGCACAAATAAATATTTAATGGATAATAGCCAAATTAAATAATTTAATTGAATCAAAAATCTTTTTTTGATTCAAATAATATTTTTTCAGTGCATTAAATTATTACAAAAGTATTATTTATTTTGCTTTTTTATTTTCACTTCCAAACGTTAAGATTATGGTAGCTCAAAACAGTTTTGATCAATACAATTGGAAACCAGTTAAGATAAGGTACAATACGCTGATAAACGTAATGTGAATGTAACCATATGTCGACCAGTCGGCATAAAACAATAATAGATGTTAATCTCGCAACGGCAATTTCTAAAGTTCATTTTCGCATAACAGTGAAATGGTTTTAACATTAATATTGATGTTCAAAATTGTTCAACTCATATCTTAATTATATTGTAATTTCAAATTTTCTTTAATAATTTCATTTTTTTCAGCGGTGTTTTCGATTACCTATAAGTTCTTTTTTTTAAATCAGAAATTCATTTGTGGGGAGCTTTCAAAGAAAAATTCTCACATCAGGATGACAGTTTTTGGAATAATCTCTAAAATTCCTTGGAGAAAGGTAGCAGGAAGGAAGAACGATATAAAAAGTGACTGCCTCTCTTGTTCCTTTTCCATTCTCAAACTCTTTTCACTAGTTACTTTTTTTCTTTATCTACTGAATTTTGCTTTCAGTATTTTCCACCGCAGAGAATTTTCATTTCAAAGCACTGTTTTCCGCTTGTGATGAACAAAATGCAATCTTAAAGAGTTTAAATGTTGTTCTGAGAATTGATATATTCGTAGAAAAATAGTTTTTTACTTTTTATATTTTCAAACTATGGCCAAAATATAATTAACCATGCGAAGAAAAAAATGTCCTTTTCATATTTTCTTCTTTCCATGGTATCGACCATACATTGTTCACAGTTCAAAATTTTTTCAATAAATCTTAAAAACATAAAAAAAACCTTCTTTTTCTCCACATTCTTTGCCCATGTGGTTAAAAATACATTCATTGTAAAATTTACTTCACATAAAATAAATATTTCTGCAATATATATTTTTCTTCGAGTAAAGTTTTCAATTGGATTATATATATCCAAACATGCAGGTGCTATTACAACTCCAATAAATATTCCAGATAAAATAGCAGTTGTAACTGAAAAAAAATTTATAAATAGTTTGTTAGATTATTAATTTCCAAAATTATATTTAACAAATAAGAAAAACTCTTTCGTGATCTTATGATAAAATGTAATCTATTTCTGTTTTGCATTTTTATTCTTATTTTTTATACTTTTTCTTTGTAGTGAAGGAAGTTAAAAATAGGATTTAGTTTTACATTATATTTTAAATAATGGTAAAAATAATAAATTTTTTTTTATAAACTTACTTCAGCTTATTGCAATCTAATTTTTTTTTGTATTTAATGAAACTGATGTTTTGCGATAATTTTTCTTAGTTATTGAAAACGTTTGAATAAACAATTGCATTGTATGAACAGTTTTGGACAGAAATAAAATAAAACTTTAAAAACATTTTTGCAATCTTTATTTAAACAAGTTTTAAAAACATTTTATTTTTTTATTATATTTTCATCAAATTTAATTGTTAATGCTATTTATCTGTAAAAATAAGAAAAATTAAAGCAAAACTTCGTTTTCATTAGAAGAAATTAACTGTATAATTTAATCTTAATTTATAATTTACAGACAATTAATTTTTAACCAAAAATGTTTGATAAATATAATTGTTTATTTAATTTGTTTATAAAAATGATAAAGTTATTTAAATATAATTTATTTACGATGATAATCTGTGGGCAATAGAAGAAAACTTAATTGTAAAAATTCGATTTATTTGTGTCTAAAAATGTCCCTAAAATGCTATTGTTTATTAAAATTGTTTAAATAATTAAGAAAAATTATCGAAAAACATCAGTTTTATTAAAAACAAGTTAAATTACAATAAGCTGCAGTAAATTTATAAAAAAAAACAATTTCTTTTAGGCATATCTTAGTCTACATTTTAATTGTTTATATAATTTGTTCATAAAAATGTTTAAGTTATTTGTAAAATAACATTTTCATGAGGATAATCTCTAAGCTGCTTAGAAAAAACATTAATCGTAATAAATTTGATTCATTTCTGCGCAAAAATGACAAACAAAATTTATTTTTAATCCTATCTTCGTCTAGAGTATAATTGTTTATTTAATTTGTTTATAACAATTTGTAATCTTAAAAACAATTTTTTTACTACTTACACACCCCTTCAGACGTAAAATGTATGCAATATTGAGTATGTAAAAAAAGTTTTGTTTAAAATCTATTGAAAAGTTTAAAAAATCGTTTTTTACACATTACATTAACATTGAAAATTTATAATATAAAATTTAAAAATCTACTTTCACAGATCTTTTTAGAATTTAGTTCCAAGTTAGAGGGAAACAAATTTTTTAATTCGGTTAAAAATTGGGGGTCTAAAAGTTCATTTAAACAAAATTTTTTCTTTTTATCCCACAGTGGAGCGCAGCGAGCGCGGTCACAAAAATATTAATAACTTTTGACCTAATGCAATATACTGACTTTTTTTTTTAAATACTCGTGATAAAACAGAGAATCATAATTGACCAGAAAAAATACGAAATTAGGCGGAGAAGTTTATTTTATAAACTTTATTTCTATTTGTTTATAATAATTGTTGCTATTTTAAACAAATTATGAACGAAATCTAATAATATATTTATATATTTTTTTTTTATTTAATATATTTATTACTATTTAATTAAAAATATCTTTTTCAACCTAGTACATTAACAGCAGTCTTCAATGTACAACTAAAGCATTTTTTTCAGATATATTGATGTACTGCTTAATCAATTCAAACTCTGAAATTTATGCTTGTCAATCAAAAACTTTTCTAAACCCTCATTACTTATCATATAAAAGCTTATAAGTCAATTTAACATGCTCTTATTTACTTTATGTTTAGTGAAACATGACATTATCTTCACGATACTGTAAAGTGTTCTAAATAACAACTTAAAGGAAACGCACAATTTTGAATTTATGATATAATTATAAAAGTTTATATTTTTTCAAGTAAAATCAGGTTACTAGTTAATAGTACAAAAGAATTATTTCTTGATAACCTGATTTTACTTGGAAAAATATAAACTTTTATAATTATAATTATCATAAATTTAAAAATAGTGCGTTTCCTTTAAGTTGTTATTTAGAACACTTTACAGTATCGTGAAGATAATATCATGTTTCACTAAACTGAAAGTTTTTTCCTTGAATTTAAAAGTAAATAAGAGTATGTTAAATTAACATATAAGTTTTTTTGCATGATAAGTAATGAGGGTTTAGAAAAGTTTTTGATTGACAAGCATAAATGTCAGAGTTTGAATTGATTAAGCAGTACATCAATATCTGAAAAAAATGTGCTTTAGTTGTACATTGAAGACTGCTGTTAATGTACTAGGCTAAAAAAGATATTTTGAATTAAATAGTAATAAATATCTTCTCTTATTAAATAATAATTTTGAAAATGGAAGAAGTTTATAACACATACTTTTTGGCCAATAAGCTAATTATGTCATTCTCTGGAATGTGGCCTCTTCAACGTAAAAAATATGCATATCCATTACGTACTTTTGCAGTTATGATGTTTATTTTACAATATATACCTATGGTATGTATATTAATTAACCATAATAATCTTCGTAATCTTTCGCACTCTTTCATGTTTTCAATCCCTTAATAATCTTTCGTGTATACCTCTGTTTTTTGTTATGTTTAGTGTATTATATCTAGATATTATGTTGTCATTATTTTTATTCCATAATAATTAATTCAAAACAATTATTTACAATTAATAAATTAAAAGTACTAATTACTAATGAAAACGTGTTTTTTTGAAATAACTTTTTCCTATAAAGAAATTTGAATTCATTTTTGTCAAAATTATATTGCTGGCATGAAAAAAAAAATCGATTCATGTATATAAAGTTTACATTTTATCAATATTTTTATAATTAATAACTATTTTTACATATTCAACAAAAAATTCAAATTTTAATTTTTAAAAATTTATTTTAACATTTCGAAATAATTATTCTACCATAAGAAAAATGAAGCAATTGTGATATAAAAAGTTTTTATTTTACCAAATATTTGTAAAACAATTTAAAAATTATATTCATGTTATGAGCGTCTTACGTTGCTTTTATTTCTTAATTAATTAAAAAAAAAAATGTTTATTAATCTATGAAATGTAATAAAATGTTTTTATTTTTATTTATTCTTTATTTTTACATTGACGCTTTAAACTTTGAAATAAGAAACAAATTATGAACAATTATAAAATTAAAATTCAAGAAATGAAAGAAAACTTTAATATAATTGTTAACAAGTTGCCAGTAATTATTATTAAAATATAAATAAATAAATAAATTAGTTTTAATAGGTAAAATTTGTAATGTTGTGGGTCGTCAGTTATATAGGTAATAATGTATTATTTTGTTTATTTTTTTTTTTGTACTAAACCCACATCTATAGGTAGATTTCCCAAACGTCTTTATGCACAACAGAAGAAGGAGAAAAATACCTTAAACCTCCGAATATTTTAGAATATTTTTGAATTAATTTGATGTGTTTGTAAAATGTTTTTAAATTAATAATTCTTACATATGTCTCTAGTTAGTCAAATTGTATACATCAAGACACAACATGAATGAAATATTCATATGTTTACCAATGTTCTTTAGTACCTTTATTTTATACGTGTGTTATTATTTGCTAATAGGAAGATGTTCTAAGGTACCTAAATTATTAACTTTTGAAAAATAAAATATATACAGTGTCGTTCATAGGATTTTAAGAAATTCGAAAATTGACATCACTATAAACTATTAGTTCTATTAGAAAGCAAAATTTTAAATAATTATTTTATACAAATTTTTACAGGTTTTAAAGTTGTGTAAAGGTAACTTTAAATTTTGTTTATTATTAACTGCAATTAGAAAATGATGAAACATTTATCTAAATTTATTATCTTAAAATTATGGTAGTAGGGAATACATTAATAAACTTTCCAGCTTTACTAGAAATTAAAATAAAAAACTTTTTACCATAATTTTATTTGCTGTATGTAAGGTGAATCCTACTGAGCGGCAGTGTATATATGTTATAGTTAAAGTCCGAAATTCAAGTAATGTGCACATTATAACTAGTTAATCTGCGGATTATCTGATCAAATCCGTTAAAGTTCGAAAGAAAATTTTTTTTTCGAACATTAACTGGTTAATGTCCAGATTAACTAGTTAATGCGAACATTACCGAGTTTACTTTCGTCAAAGTGCGAAAAAATGATTTAACTAAAATAAAACATGAATTATTATTATTATTGCTTCAGAGTAAAATTATTTATTGAATAACAAGTGTACAATATTGGAACTTTTTTAAAAATAAACTTATTACTTCTATATTAAATAATTAATATTAATTATAATTAATTATTATTAAACTTTAACTATAACAAATATACATATAGGTTAAAGTCATAAATATTTATCGAATACTTTGTATTAGCTGGCTGAAATATTAGAGTGGATAGCTAAAGAACATCTGTCACTTCGAAATTTGGAAGATCAGTTAAAAATTTTGCAAAAGGCCGCATATCAAGGGCATTTATTCGTGTATTTTTATATAAGTAAGTTGAAATATTATTTTTACCATTATTTAAAATTTATTGTAAAATTTAATCATGTTTTTAACTTCTTTCACTACAAAAACAAGTATAAAAGATAAGAATAAAAATGAAAAACATAATTAGATTTCTAAAGATCTTATTTTGTTTGGATTTGTAATTTTAATGTGTTCTTATTTTGTTTGATAAAAATCCATATATTTTATTTTAATAATTATTTATTAGCTTTCGCCCGTCGACGACAGGCATCCCACAGTGGCGAAAAATGTACTTTTTCGTTTCAAATCACTTTACGGATCACAATTTTTTACCAAAATGATTTTTCTTTTTTTCTAAATCTTTGTAATCTTTGTAATTAATAACAATAAGTATTAAATAAATCATAAAATCGTTAAAAATATTTTTTATTAGCTTCAATAATTAAGAAAATTAATCAGAAAACCTATTAAAATAATTTTAGATTGTTTCTGATTTATGAAAAAAGTATAACAATTTATTAAATTGTTTAAATACAATCAATTGTTGTTATTTTTTTATAAACTGCAATTCGAGCTAGAAATTTCTATTTTTTTCTCGACTCTGCAATTTGTCATGAATAAAATATCTACTGATAATAAAAAATAATTTATTTAGAGATTGTTTAAACAATTAATTGTTATTATTTTTGTCATAAACTGTACTTAGGGCTAGAAATTATTTTTTCTGTATATTGTACATTTTTTTGTAACTACAACATTCAAGTATCAAATTAAAAATTAATTCAATTTAAACTTTGTTTAAACAATTTATTTTTAGTTAATTTTTCAATTTTGTACTTAAAACTATAAATTTCTAGTTTTTTTTCAATTATTCTGCAATAATAACTTAAACACTTATGTATAATAGAAAAACTAAAAATTTATTATTTAACCATTGCTTAAACAATTTATAGTTTTTTATAGTTTTTTATTTCTTAATTGATGTATTTGGAAAAAACTTAAAAATTTCTAGCCCTAAGTGCACTTTATGAAAAAGAAATTATAGCAGTTTTAAAATAAATTATTTTTTATTTTTTAACATCAGTAGATATTTTACTCATGAAAAATTGCAAAATTAAGAAGAAACCAGAAATTTCTAGCCCTAAGTACAGTTTATAAAAAATAACAACAATTTAATTGTTTAAAAAATTTTATAAATTGTTATACTTTTTTTCATAAATCTTATTTTAATAGCTAAAAATAAATATATTTTTTACGATTTTTTAAATACTTATTGTTATTAAAAAAATGTTTTGAAAAAATCCGAAAATCGAGTTCGAGAGATCGATAGAGAATTTTATTACGAAGATTTAGAAAAGTAGAAAAATCATTTTGGTAAAAAATTGTGACCTGTAGAGTGATTTGAAACAAAAAAGTACATTTTTCGCCACTGTACATCCTTAGATAAATTTAAACTGAAATTACATAAAAATATTAGTGAATGGAATTATATCAAAGTGTATTTAGAAGAGCATAACATAAATATATTGTATATGGATTTTTATCAAATCAAATAAGATCACACCAGAAATAGATTTCGTTTTATATCATAACATCAAGAAAGATATTTTCTTCTTTTCTAAATAACATTCGAAATTAATAAGCTAACAAACTATTTTATATTTTCTTTCTCAGTTACAACAGCAATTTCATCTACAGTATATGTTGGAGTAGTAATAACACCTGCATGTTTGGATATATATTTTCCAATAGAAAATTTTACTCGACCAAAAATGTATATTGCGCAAGTTGATTACTACTTCTTTGAAGCTGATGATTACTTCTTTTATATAACTTTGTTTTCTTTTTCAAATGCTATCTTTACTATTATTGCAGTCACCTCTCCAGATTTATTATTATTCACCTTATGTCAACATTCTTATGGAATGTTTAAAGTTTTTAGGTTTTTATTATTTTTTAAGTTTCAAGCAAATAAATGCAAACAAATATGTGCATATCTCTAGAACCTTTAACATTTCAATGAGAAAAAATTTGTTAATTTTTTTTAGCACAGTATTGAAACTCTGTCTACATAAACTTTAAGAAATAAGCTCAAACTTTAATATTTCCAACAAAAAAAAAGTTATTGAAATTATCAAAATATATGTGAGGGACATGAAAATTAAAGGTTCCAGAGATATGCTATTGATAATAATTTTCTTTTATTAGTTTTAAATATGGTTTCAATTATAATAGGCGTAAGCTACTCAACTTGAATGAAATTAGTGATTCAAAAAATTATGAGATAAATATTTATAACGAAACCATCAACTGTATGAAGTTTTACTATAAAATAATACAGTTAGTTTACTATTTAATATGTTAATTATAATAAAGAAGTATTGTTTATTGGTATTCTTTTCTTTTTTAATTTTTCTACAGGTTTGTGGATAAAGTAAACTACTGTTATTCACCGTATTTATTTGTTAGAACTACTGTTGAAATAATATTGATAAGTTTCACAGGAGCAATGGTTGGTAATTAAATAATAGCACCAGATTGTGCTACATAATATCTGTGATTGTTTTTTTTTTACGAATAATTAAAATTTTTATATTTTTATATTTAGGTTGTCATAAAACTGCATGAAACATACTTCTTTTTGATGTTTTTAAGTTATTTATGCATCTTAATGTTTCATTTACTTTTAATATCAATTTTTGGTCAACAAATATTAAGTCAAAGTGAAAATGTCCATAATTACTTGTAAGTAAAATAATAATTTTTTAAATGTAAATTTTTAATATTTGGTATTCAGTGGAATTACCATCTTTTTGTGATGTCTGATCATTGTTTTAGATTTGATGTAAATTGGTATGAATTTTCCCAGCCGACACGAAAGATAATCTATATGGCTTTGATGAAAAGTTCACAATTTTCTTGTCTTACTATTGGAAAATTTGGAATTCTTAATATTGAAACATACAGTTCTGTAAGAAGTCATAAATAATTTTTTATTCATTTTTGTCTTTATTTTTTAAGTAATTAGTTTTTTTTTATTCAGCTTGTACGCCTGATATTTTCCTACTTAAGTGTATTAATAACAATGAACTTGTAAGGATTTTTTGGAACATAAAATATATACCTTACCTTTGAGAATTGATGATCAAGCTTTGGATATGTTTATCAGTAATTCTATAAAAATTACATGTTTTATGTATTTCGACAAAAAGTTTATATGTATCTAAAGATATTATTTTGTAAATTAGGCAAATAAAGACAGTATAATTAAAGAGATATTAACTCAAAATTTTTGTTACAAATACAATGATAACACTCAGCCATTCAGAAGACAAACTGGTGGGTTCAACACCCTCTAATCGTTATTCTGGAAGAAAGATTTTAATTTTCTCAACTCTTTTTCTTTTTGCTTTATTCTTCTTTTATTGACTGTATCTCTTCTCTAAATCACAGAAAATGCTAAGGTTCCTAAATAAATTCCATTTTGAAAAATATTTTTTAAACTCTTAAAAAGAATAATAATGTTTTGAAGTTACGTTTTGTAAAGATCGATGAAAATACTAAATGGACAGGTATAGTTAATAATTTATCGATTTGGCAAAAGCACCACAAATCGCAGCTTTAATCGTGAATAATAACCATTAGGCGCCTAATGGGATCGTGGGAGCGACGGGTAATCGGGAATGGAAGAGGAATAGATAACGAGACACGGATGATGAAGAGTGTGAAGTAAAACACACCCACAAAATGTATTATGTGCATCATTGGGAGTTTAATAATATTATTTAGGGTCCCATTTTCCAATAAACTATAGAATGTAAAAAAAAATCCACTTAATATCATTAAAAAAAACGAAAATATTAAATCAATTCAAAAGATCTCATTGAATCTAAAATTCTTGTTCTGGGTTATGGTAATTTTAAAATATGTTAATGACAAAGATAAAGGTATTCTCATTCAGGGATTTTCCATTTAAAGTGACACGAACTGTGGAAAATGCATCACTGACAGTCCTTGTAAATGTCGGCAGTTAAAGTTTAATTGAAACACGGTAATACGTGCGTGCTATTGGCCAAAATAGTGGACCGAAAGCACGAACGAGTCTGCTAACTTTCTCGTCTGGATATAATTATTTGAAGGAGTTAAATCCATAACGTATAAACTAGAGAACAAAGTTATTACTAATTATAAAAATTAATGTACTTTTCATTATTACTATTTCTTCAATCCATTTCTAATATTTACAAAAACTCAAACATCCCTCTCCCATAAGTTATTTAATGTAAAAGATCCAATCAGTAGATTAATGATATGGAGACTAATGCAAAAGTTGTTAAGAAATTTTCTTCAATGAAGAAAAAACAATTCTAAAATAAATTCAATGTGAAATAGAAAGAGATTTGCAAAGATATTACAAACAATACACCACTTTTCTAACCAACTGAATATTCTAAAAAATAATCGAAGTGAATGTTTCAAAGAGAGAAGAAGACTTATCGCCTTTTATATGTTCTTTGATAAAACGGCAAACTCTTTCAAAAACCAATTCCCCGTTTTCATTAAGTTTAAATAGAGTATATTTATTCAATGGACACTGTAGAACAAATTTTAGAAACGTCTACTTTCCTTTGACAGCGTAAATTGAATTTTGGAAACCTGCTCTTTGACTCCTTTTAACCTCACATGTTACAAATTCAACGATCAATAGCTTTAAGAACTCCCCTAATTTAATCATCTTGTAGTAATAATATTTCCTCATAGTTCGAAAGTGATATAGTCCATCCCTTTAATACAATGTTGCCTAGAAGTTGAAATCTAGAGAGTATACTCCTTTACTGGTTAGATGATGTCCATGAGTAAAATTGCGTCGTTCCAATGCTTCCTAAGATGACATTGTTATGATTCTCTAACGCGAGTTGAAATGAGCTTACCAAGTTTTGGGAACTGTTGAACCGTGGATAAACTCAGATAGGACGACGTCGTATGCTTTCGGAATTCCGCATGAAGCTTCTTATTCCCGCCGAAATATATACGTCAAGTTTGTATCTTCTTATGTGCATAACAGGATTATTTTTTAGCCAAACTTTTCTTTTACTTTACTTCAAAAGACATATCAAATTTTTAAGTAACTTAAATTTAAATATTTTCTAAAGTGTATATTATTTTACGTTGTTTTTAATAACGTATTTCATCATTTAATAATATCTAATCGAATATTTTCAATTTTCATAAAATAATCATAAGGAAATGGGAAATTAATCCGGCATGATGAAATTAATTTCAGTTTCAAAGCGAAGCCGCAGTAGTTTGTATAAGTTATAGATTACAAAGAGGATCATGCAAGAAGTAAGATCAAGTTATCAATTAGATGGTAAATTCTTGATACTTTGTTTAAATAATTTTAAAACCATTTTACATTTTACTTGATTTGAGAATTTTATCTGTGAACAAACCAATAAATTAAATGGAACATATTCCGTGAAGCCAACAATCGTTTTAATACTTGTGAACTTCCACTGTTCAAGAAGAACTTAGTCTGCAAAAATCTAACTCATATTCGTCACCGAGCTAAATAGAAGTCATCCTGCAAATTTCTACCTGAGATTTTTTTGTGAAAATCTAAAATTGGTTAAGCACTCTTGAAGCATCAGGATATTCAGTGTATTCTATTGGGATCCTAGGATCTGGTTTTCGAGCTAAACAACAGAACATGTACAGTATTGTTAAAGTTCACAATAGACATTAAATTTGTCTTACCTTGGTCCTAGATTTCAAAGAGTTTATAATGGAAATGGTGATTTTTCAGAATGAGATAAACTTAAATGTATCACTCTCCCAGGGCGTATCACTCTCATCGTTGATTTTTAACTAGATCTTGGGGATCAGCTTCAATACTGTAAATACCATAAATATGCAGACGATTTTAAGTCTTATCTTTCAGGTCCACTGTCATCGCTTACTGATTTAATTTGAATGATTCAAATAGATATTGATTGTTAAGTGGGCGGGTGACTTGTTCTTAATTCGAATAAGACTCAGGCTATGGTAATTTCTTCCAAACCAATAAACTTTCTACTGATACATTACTAACTTTTCCACAGCTTTTGGTTGGTTAAATCTCTTATATACAATATAGAGTAAAGTTGGGATTATTGAACGTTGCAACTAGAAGACAATTTTTTATAGGAAATTTGTTCTACTCAATATTTATTAACAAGAGTTATCTTTATGATTTGTTCGAGTTTTCGGATTCGGATGAACTAAATCTTAACAGGCTTCGAGAAAAAAAATCAGTATATCATGTACTATTCCTTGAAGGGCTAATTAGCTCTAGGAACTTCGAACATTTAAATAAATAAATATTGGGATATGACTGACATGGATATGTTTGGTAGACCTTGTGGTGTCGGGGCTTTTCACTAAATGACAACCAAAACAGAAGGATGATAATGGGTGATTACAAAAATGAGGAGTACCTGCGGGGAAATGCTTCGGCAAACCCCTCACTGGTTCCCGTCATCGAGAACCTAGCGCAAGCAGCATCTGAACTTGACATCGCAAGCTGCAATGAAGATACAAATAACTTCATTAGGCCAACGGGATGAAGTGACAGAATGTATTGATAGAATTGCATAGGAGGTCAGCAAAAATGCTGAAGTCTTGTGAAGTACAGTAGAATGTCAACATGGCAATTAAGGGAGGGACTTAAAAGTCTTACAGCGCTCATACAGGAAGTAAGATCCACGCATGTAGAAGGAGCCAAAAAAGGACTTAAAGAAGAAGAAGAAACCTCCTGAAATGTCTTGTGGTGAGATCAACAGGGGTCGAACCTATAAGAAGGCAGTAAACCACGAAAGCCACCAAGATCAGCAATTATTGTTAATGTGGTTAACGATCTTAAGGTTACCTAAGGATAACGACTTTTGCTCAATAAGGTGCAAATGGCGGATCGAAAGGTAACACTGGAGATCCTCGACCTGAATTCCCTTACTGCGAAAGACGAAGTCCAGGAAACCTTGGTGCAGATTTTAGGGACACCATCACTTGGTAGAAAAGTGACCTAAACCCACGAAGTTTGAAGCCAATAGGTAGTTCCTTGGGTTGAAGAATAGTCCAGTACAAGACGAAAGTGGTTATTACTGGATCGACCAGAACAAGAATAGCAGTCATCCCCACATAACTTTGAATTTAATCCAGGTATCTGAAAATATACACATTTTCCATTTACGACTCCAAAAAAAAGAATCACTTTTATTTTTAACAATTCTTTCTTTACATATTATACTAAAAGCAAAAACCATTTTTTTAACAATCTTTTTGTACACTAATATTATTCTGGCATAAAAAAGCTATAAAACAAATTCTGTTTGGAAATGTGCTCTATTTGCTTCCACCAAATCCATGTATATTTTTTTGCAATCAGAATATTTGCTTTTATTTTAACCACATACGAGAACTATTGTTTTCTATATTACAAAATGTGATTGACTAACTGAAAATGAATATTTGAATTATCTTTTTAACCTTTATATATATGTTCCACATATTTGGATGTGTCAATTCATTGATGTCGTTTTAGTATGTCGTTCCATTGCAGACATTTCATGCTTTATGCGTGCTTTTAATATGAAATGTCATTTCAGTACTGTATATGTATATATAAATACCTTACGAACCATCTGCGAATCATCATATAGGAAAATTTCATTTTACAAAATTATTTACTTTAATGTACGCTTCATGCACGAGTATCTCATTGAAAAATATAATGATGGATTAAAAATTAAAAATTCATACTGTTTTGAATCTTTCATTAATTAAAAACATGGTAGAAGAAATGTTTCATTATAATGTATAATAAAATATTGATAATTTAAAAAAAAGGAAAATTTTAATTAACAAAGCTGCTTGTGTAAATGTCATATTTATAATCACATCAAGGTTTTTAGTGAAGAAAGTGAAATTCATTTTCAGTGAGAGAAAATTTATGAATGTCTATTATCAAGAGTCATTTTCCAGATGAGTACTGTAGTCGTATAAATAGAGCTCCTATTATTCACAGTTGGATTGATGAA